TTTCTGTCCAATCTCAGAGACATTGTCCCGACTTTTCTGTCCAATCTCAGAGACATTGTCCCGACTTTTCTGTCCAATCTCTCGGAGACGTTGCCTCGACGTTTCTGTCCAATCTCTTGGAGAAATTGTCCCGACTTTTCTGTCCAATTTCAGAGACATTGTCCCGAATTTTCTGTCCAATCTCAGAGACATTGTCCCGACTTTTCTGTCCTGTCTCAGAGACATTGTCCCGAATTTTCTGTCCAATCTCAGAGACATTGTCCCGACTTTTCTGTCCTGTCTCAGAGACATTGTCCCGACTTTTCTGTCCAATCTCTCGGAGACATTGTTCCGAATTTACTGTCCAATCTCAGAGCCATTGTCCCGACTTTTCTGTCCAGTCTCAGAGACATTGTCCCGACTTTTCTGTCCAATCTCAGAGATATTGTCCCGACTTTTCTGTCCAATCTCAGAGACATTGTCCTGACTTTTCTGTCCAATCTCAGAGACATTGTCCCGACTTTTCTGTCCAATCTCACTGAGACATTGTCCCGACTTTTCTGTCCAATCTCACTGAGACGTTGTCCCGACTTTCCTGTCCAATCTCAGAGAAATTTTCCCGACTTTCCTGTCCAATCTCAGAGACATTGTCCCGACTTTTCTGTCCAATTTCAGAGACATTGTCCCAACTTTTCTGTCCAATCTCAGAGACATTGTCCCGACTTTTATCTCCAATCTCACTGAGACATTGTCTCGACTTTTCTGTCTAATCTCAGAGACATTGTCCCGACTTTCCTGTCTAATCTCAGAGACATTGTCCTGACTTTTCTGTCTAATCTCAGAGACATTGTCCCGACTTTCCTGGCCAATCTCAGAGACATTGTCCCGACTTTCCTGTCTAATCTCAGAGACATTGTCCCGACTTTTCTGACCAATCTCAGAGACATTGTCCCGACTTTTCTGTCCAATCTCACTGAAACATTGTCCCGACTTTCCTGTCTAATCTCAGAGACATTGTCCTGACTTTCCTGGCCAATCTCAGAGACATTGTCCCGACTTTCCTGTCTAATCTCAGAGACATTGTCCCGACTTTCCTGTCCAATCTCACTGAAACATTGTCCCGACTTTTCTGTCCAATCTCAGAGACATTGTCCCGACTTTTCTGTCCTGTCTCAGAGACATTGTCCCGAATTTTCTGTCCAATCTCAGAGATATTGTCCCAACTTTTCTGTCCAGTCTCAGAGACATTATCTCGAATTTTCTGTCCAATCTCAGAGACATTGTCCCAACTTTTCTGTCCAATCTTAGAGACATTGTCCTGACTTTCCTGTCCAATCTTAGAGACATTGTCCTGACTTTCCTGTCCAATCTCAGAGACATTGTCCCGACTTTTCTGTCCAATATCACTGAGACATTGTCCCGACTTCTCTGTCCAATATCAGAGACATTGTCCCGACTTCTCTGTCCAATCTCACTGAGACATTGTCCCGACTTTTCTCTCCAATCTCAGAGACATTGTCCCGACTTTTCTGTCCAATCTCAGAGACATTGTCCCGACTTTCCTGTCCAATCTCAGAGACGTCCTGACTTTTCTGTCCAATCTCAGAGACATTGTCCCGACTTTTCTGTCCAATCTCTCGGAGACATAGTCCCGATTTTTCTGTCCAATCTCAGAGATATTGTCCCGACTTTTCTGTCCAATCTCAGAGATATTGTCCCGACTTTTCTTTCCAATCTCAGAGACATTGTCCCGACTTTTCTGTCCAATCTCAGAGACATTGTCCCAACTTTTCTGTCCAATTTCAGAGACATTGTCCCGAATTTTCTGTCCAATCTCAGAGACATTGTCCCGACTTTTCTGTCCAATCTCAGAGAAATTTTCCCGACTTTCCTGTCCAATCTCAGAGACATTGTCCCGACTTTTTTGTCCAATCTCAGAGACATTGTCCCGACTTTTCTGTCCAGTCTCACTGAGACATTGTCCCGACTTTCCTGTCCAATCTCAGAGACATTGTCCCGACTTTTTTGTCCAATCTCAGAGACATTGTCCCGACTTTTCTGTCCA